GGCTCACCTCATTTGTTTCCTGTCTCTCAGATATCACTGGTCTTCATTGCCTGATGTCCAATGTCCTGAACATGTTTGCTTCACATATTTTGTTCAAGATTTTAGTTGTTTCAGGTGGGAGGGTAAATCTGCTCCTTGTTATTTCATCTTAAGCAGGAGGCCACTCCAGCCCCTACCTGGCCCCACAACACAGCTAGAGAGTCAAAGCGGGGCCATGCCACAGCTCTGTGTCCATACAAGATCCTCTCAGGGCAGTATGGTGGCCCCTCCCTGCTCAACCTCATTACCCTAATTTCAAGCTTCCTTCTGCTGCAGGGAAGCCTGGTCCTGCCTGCAAAGGGGATGGAGCTCCTTGAAGAAGGAACTATGTTTTCTCCAGCAGCTCACCAATGCCCAGTATACACTAGGGGCTCAGTTATTTTTGTCTTATTTTCTTGTTGACTCTACTCTGACGTATGACATGTCACTTTCCCCTCTTGACCTCTATATTCAGATCTGTGAATAAGAATAAGTGGGTAACATACCTTCTACCTTTAACTATAGAGCAAACCCTGAAATTAGAAGCAGAAGCTGAGGACTTGTGAATGGGGCATTTTCCCTGGCATGATGGATAGGACCTACAGATGTGGCTATTACGAGGTTTGCTTGCCAAGTGAATGTTTCTGCAGAATTTGACCCTAGTTTTCAAATCAGACTCAAGAATGACCTTTAGTGTTGGTGTTTTTTGTTTGTTTGTTTTTTCTGTGAGTTTGTGTATTTCGATACTTTGACACAACAGCTTCTGGAAACCTTTTTCACGGAGAGTATGGGGGCTTCTTTGGCCAAATTGGGTGGGTGCAGGCTCCCATGTGCTTGGCAGCTGCTGTGTGAGCTGCAGCATGCCCCATGCATCCTGCTCTTCCACAGAGGTTTCTTCAGACATTACCCTGTGTCTGGCCATGTCATTTGTCACAGATGTAAAAACAACAACCGAAAGCCTGAAGCTGCTGGGATGAGCACCTGCTGCGGAATCCCTTACAGATGCACTAAGAAAGTACTCCCGCCCTGCGCCCTGCTCTTTCCAAAAAGACAGGCCACTGGGACTGCCAGGATCCAGCTCCCTGGAACACCACAGTCTGTGTGGGCAGCAGGCCTGGTGACAGTGGCCATGATGGTGAGGGCTGAGAGCCAGATGATTGGATTAGAAAAACAGTGGCCTGGCCTCCTGAGAGCAGAGAGACGCAGCCTCCATTTCCCACTGGGAGCCGCCATCTTGTCACAGCTTTCCTCAGGAGCACCGGGAATGCTTCCCCAGGACCCCCTTTCTCAGCTTCTCTTAGCAGGACTCCCAGTGGGCTGCCACGGCTGGGGACTGGGAGCAGGGAGGGGAGGGGCAGCCAATGGGCCTGAGGTGGACTAACGGCCAAGGGGCCTCCACAGGGCCTGTCCCTCCCTAGCTCTGGGCCTGCACTGCCGCCACAGCCTCCGGGAACCCCGAAGACTTAACAGATCTGAATTGCCCCATAGCTTCTGGAATGCAATGACATTTGCATGTCTTAATTTTTGTAAATAAAAGAAATCTGCTTCCTACACCCCTTTACCAAGGTTGATGGCAAGATTGACTATCAGGGCGTAGTTGACACTCTTAATCTGACAGGAACCTCAATCTTACATTGCCATGAAAAATGGAAGATAACCGAGTTGAGGTGGAGCTATTTTCTCTTATTTCTCAGGCCTTTAAGGGTATAACAACAACTAGCATTGCATACAGTCCCTCCAACACTCTTCCACACTCCCACTAAGCTCAGCTAAGGAAATCTTTGCTGGGACCTCCAAGTCTATGCTGCTTGGCTGCCAGTTTCACAGAGTCATTTCTATCTGATATTCTACCATCTCTAGAATATTGTAATGCAGTGACCTCATCGCTTTGCCCAGTTGCAAGAAAACTACCATACTCTAGGGTCAGACCCTGTAACATAATAAAATCTAATATATTTGGTCTCTGCCCCTGGTTCCTGCCATAGAGCTCCTAAAACCCTTGTAATTTCCTAAGTGCTAGAAGTTTTAGAAACATCTTTTGTATAATGTGGTCTTTGATCCTGGTTCCTGACACAGAGTGGCCTAAATCCCTTAGAATTTCCTGGGGAGGATAAAAGTATCTTGTGTTCTAATGAGGCAACTTTGGATAGGCTTCTGGCTAGCTTCAGGATGGGAACTGGTACCCCCCATAGCCATGGTTAGAGCTTGGAACTTTCAGTCCTACTCCCCATTCTTCAGGAAGGGAAAAGGGGCTAGAGATTGAGGTAATGGTCAGTTATGCCTCTCTAAAATTCCATAAAGTGTGGCATTCAGAGAGCTTCCAGGTTGATGAACGTGCCCATGTGCAGGAAGGGTGATGCATCCCAATTTCACAGGACAGAAGCTCCCGGGCTTGGGACCCTTCCAGATCTCACTCTCTGTATCTCTTCATCTGGCTGTTCACTTGTATCCTTGGTTATATTCTTTATAATAAATCAGTAAATGCAAGTAAATGTTTCCCTGAATTCGAAGCCATTATAGCAAATGATCAAACCTGAGGAGGCAGTCATGAAAACCCTCAGTTTGTAGCCAAGTTGGAGAGAAGTGTGGGTAACCTGGGACTCACTACTTGTAATTCGCATCCAAGCTGGGGGACAGTCTTGTGAAAGTGACCACTTAACCTGTGGGGTCTGCACTAACTCCAGGTAGTTTAGTGTCATAATTAAATTGTAGGGCACAATTGGTGCCTGGAGAGTTGGAGTACTGGTTGGTGTGGGAATGCCCTGTCCCCACATTTGGTATCAGAAGTGTTGTGAAAGTAGATAAAAACAGTTTGTTTTTCCTATTTAGGCCCCTTTCCTCTTCCACCTAAACAGCACCAAGTCCCCATCTTGTTCTCTTTTCAGACAATGCAGCCCATTCTCTCAATGGTCCTAAAGCAGTGTTTTTTATAGTGTGGTCCAAAGAACACTGGTGGTCCCTGGCAGCTCATCAAATCAGCTGCATGTGTTTCAACAGTTTCAGATAAATAAAAGCAAGTAAGCGACTTTGTTTCCAACCAGTTCACAAATTGGAAATGTAGGATTAATTATGACTTTTACAGAAAACCCATTGGATCCTTTGTAATAAACCCAAGCTTACCAGGAAGGCTCTGCTGGAATAGATGCCCACAGGAATAAGATGAGATAGTGTAAGAAAGGACTAGTATAGGAGATAAGCCCTTGGTGTTTTGTAGGTAGCGTTAGGCATTAACCAATGTGACCTCTGCAGCAGAGCACAAGAGGTCTCCTCACACAGTATCACTCATCTTGTCATCTCCTTCAGCTTCCCCAATAAAAAGAATGCAACGCAGCTGAAGCAGGATCTTCATTGCAAGAAAATGCTAACACACCTCAGGGTTTAGAGTGCGTGACGTGAAGACCCCACCACTATGCCACATAAAATAGTAACAGGATTGATGGTAAATGAAATCATGTAATGGAATCTACTGTCTTTAAAAGCTCCGTCATTAGTCTCCATGAACATTGTTAGACATTTTAGGAAAAGTTAGAAAACATTTTTAGGAGAGAAGAATGAGTTTAGTCAGTGGGATAAAAGCTACCAGGTAAAAGCTTAAATTAGCACCCCTTTCCCCATGGTAACCCTTCCCCATCGCCCTCAAATTCAGCCTAACACATCATAGCTGTATTGGTATATTCTTTTTCTTCCCTGACACTAGAGTAACTAATAGGATCTGATATCAACAATCATGAAGTGGTCCCAGAACAATGCAATACAACCAAGAACAAGATTTTTAAAATGCTGCCTAAGAGCTGCCTCCTCCATAGTTACCTAACAAAGCTGTGCCCTAATCATCTTTCTGCAACTGCTTCTTCATTTCTAATCTATACTATGCAATTAACACCTCATTCTACCCCACTTTGTTCTCTGGACTTGATTCTTTAGCACTTTGTTTTGTCAATATAAAATATAGTTAATTATCACATTGTCTTCTCACTAATTGCTATTTGAGATTATTTTGTTTCCCCAACTAAATTTTAAACTTCTTGTGAACAAAGAGTATTGAAACTCTTTGGCATGCTATAATGACTAACATAGGCATAAATACCTAATTAAATGATCAATAATTGGTTGATTCTCAGGTTTAAATCACACATCAAAAATAAAACAAAATTGGATTATTTCTTAGTTTCTTTCCTTCTGAATTAGATGTTCCCTCAGAGGCACTACAAAATATTAGACTTTTTGGTTATAAAATCCATTTTTTTTTAAAGTCACTCTTAGTAAGCTAGTCAGAAAAATGCAACACCCCAGAGACATAGGGACATCATAGGAGAGTGAGGATAAAATGAACTTTCTCTTAGGGAATTATTTTAGTTTCCAATTTGCACCTTTGTTTGAACTAATTAGATTAAGAAGGATGGAACCATTCCTCAGGCATGTTCGGAAGAGTCAAATTTGGAGTAGGCAGAAAACTAAGGATACAAAAACAGGAGCCAGGTCAAAGGTCTTCCCCAGAGAGAGGCTTCACGACTCTGCCTGATGAAACCCTTACTGCCTGTCACTATCTTCAAAGCACAGAACAGTACACAGCCCAGAGCAGGCCCCAAGATGTATCTGCCCTGTGATTAGTTGACAAGATCACTGAATTGTGGGCTGATGACCCCACTCACTGATGGAATCTGTCGGGCTCACTTTTCATCATCCTGGTACCCTTTTGTGAATAACTGGAGTTTCCTTCCTTCCTTTCCTGTCTGGTTTGCATCACTGACAAATTCCACTTTTCCTCTCTTGAGAAAGACATTCTTCCTCGGCCCAACCCATTATAATAGCACATTCCATTTCAAGATGAACTGGAAGATAGCCTTCATCATAAAACAATTGTAAGTGGTTGAGATAAAGCACCCAATAAAGCAACTGAAAGCAGAAAAAGGCAGAAAGAATTTGTGCCTTCTTATGGAGCAAATACTCCCCATCCATCAGCTAAAAAGGAAAATCTGGGACACGGCTTAAAATTTTCATTAAAATGGAACAGAGCATCAGGAAGTCAGATTTAGACCAACAACCATGAGATATTTTTCTTACAGTTCCTTTCTCCTGGACAGTCTTGCAGTGGGCTTCAAAGTTCTCTCTGTGACCAAGTTCAGCAAAGTTGCTTTTTCCTCCTCTTTGATTGTACCAGAGCTTTGGGAAGGGCAGTGAAGTAAGCCGAAATGAAATTGCCAAAGTTATGGTTCTCAAGTAAATGAGATTTTCTCTAATGCTTACCAACTGTCACCAGGTCAGATGGATTTTTCTGCTTGAAGTCCCCTGATGCATTAATTTCTTCGCTGTCTTATGGTATCCCTCCAAAAGTAACCCTAGCAGCCATAAAAGCATAAAAAGAAAATATATAGCATAACTGGTGCACAAAAAGATGGCAAGAAATAAAAAGTGGGGAGAAGGCAGAAAGAAAGGTCTTTAGAAAAGCATGTTGTTTTCTTGGCTTTTAACTCGGGGGACAATTCACACATCACTCCACTCAGACCTACCAGAAAATAGCATGATGTGACAGGTCTGGGTTGGCTGAACTAGAAATCCTTAAAGGTGGGTGCATGCTTTCTTTTCTTGATTCATCTAGTACAGTGATTATGGAGAACATTTTTAAAGCAGTGAAACCACTATATATAAAGCAGCTGAAAGTAGAGTGACAGTGGCTGAGTTAGGGGTCTCACTAGTTGTACTTCCCCTCCCCACAGGAGTAGCCCATATGAGTCTTCAAGTAACTGCAGGATTGGAGGCGCAAAAGTCACCACTCTAGAGGATTTTGGGTGATCCATCAAGTGACAGCACCAGGACTTAATTTATCTGAATACAAATGACTACCATCTAAATTAGGGAACAAGAAGATAGTCTCTGTTTCTCTCTAATGTATTGACATACAGTTTACTCATTGACTCTGGTTTATTGGGCTAAAAATTAGCATCATTTTTAAATAGAGATCACAAGTCTTATCACCTACCAGCTAACTGCCCTCATCTTCCTTTCTTCGTAAAACATTTCAACAGATGTTTATTGAATCCCTCTTTTAGGTCTAAGGCACTATCTTGTTGTTGAAAGTTACAAATAAGTATAATAGTAGTAGCAGTAACAGTAATAATGGTAAAAATAATAGCAAATATGTAGATAGTATTAACTTCCAAACACTGTTCTAAGCTACTTATATATGTTAAATCACTCAATCATGTAAATGACACTCTAGGAAAGACATGATTATCATTTCCAGTTTATAGATGAATAAATCAAGGCAAGAATGATGAATCTGCCTCAGTTTAAGTTGATTCTCATTTCTCTTGCCTACCAAACCAGCAAATAAGCAGTGCACATAACATATATAAGATTAGCCGGGTGTGGTGGCTCATGCCTGTAATCCTAGTGTTTAAAGGGGCCAATGTGGGAGGATTGCTTGAGGCCAGGAGTTGGAGCATAACATGTATAAGATTAGCCGGGTGTGGTGGCTCATGCCTGTAATCCTAGTGTTTAAAGGGGCCAATGTGGGAGGATTGCTTGAGGCCAGGAGTTGGAAATCAGCCTGGACAGCATAGCAAGACCCCATCTCTGCAAATATTTCTAAAAATTAGCCACCATGATGGCATGTGCCACAGGCACAACTACTTGGGACGCTGAGGCAGAAGGATCACTTGAGCCCTAGAGTTCAAGTGACATAATCATAGCTCACTGCACTCCAGCTTGGATGACAGAGCAAGACCCTGTTTCTGATACAAAAATTTAAAAAAGAAAAAAAACAAGATTAAAGAGGAAAGCAAATAGCTGTCATTCTCCAGTTCCTTCTGTAAAATTCAGTGTTCCACTGGAGTGAGGATTCTGCTGTGTTGGAAGACATAGACCCATGGGTTTATAGATTTATTATTCAGGAGTGCCCTGGACTGGGTCAAATACCCATACAAGTGCCATCTATTATGGCACAGTCATATCTCACTGCAGCCTCAAACTCCTGGGCTTAAGCAATCCTCCTGCATCAGCCTCTTGTGTATAGCTGTATAGGAGTATACAGCTATCCCGTGTATAGGAGTATAGCTACTAGTGTATGCCATCATGATCAGTTAATTTTTTAAAAAAATGATTAGGAATTTCTTGCAGCACCACTCCGCTTCTAAGTTCTATCACTTACTGCATCACTGGGTTTGTAGCAGGCCTGGCCGTGGCCTACTGACAAATAAAATCACTAATGTTTTATGTGTCGAATAAAAAAGTGCTGTCCCTGCCAGATACCGTTGGGTATCTTGTCTGGGCTGGGTGTGAGACTGTCTGTGTAGAGTGTGAGGTTAAACAATACAACTTCCTAAAAGTCTCTTTGGTTTTCTAAGCAGAAAGCCCCCTGTTGTAGATATTTACTGAATTTTTAAATTAACTCAGAGTACCTGAAGATATTTAAAACAGATCCCCACTAATTTTACTTGAATGGAAACTTGGAGACCTATGTCAAATAACTTGCATCCTCTGTATAATGCGGCTTCAGACATTACAGACCCATTGGATGAACTAAGTATTTTCAAAGAGAAGCAAGCTATAAGAAATGGAACCTGGACCCCTGGAGAAAAATCATCTTGAAAGGAAACCTGTCAGGGAGGCTAACTAAGCAAGAAGGGCTAACACTTTAGTTCTGAGTGGGGATTAAGGCCCTCACGTACCCACCCAGATATAACCCCAACCCCAGAATGCCTGGGGGCTCTGCAAAAGAGAGGAATGAGGAATAGAGAACTTTGTCTTTAGAGGCCCTACAGTTCTGCTATAGGAGGCCCTTCTGAAAAATCTGGTCAGTCAACGAGAAAGTACTTCCCTAGTAAATTATGGGGAAGAGCAGCATTGGCAATTGGTGAATTAGAGGAAGTTGGGAGCTGTGCAACAGGAACCTGTTGACAGCGTGGAGACCAGTGGTTTCTAGGGCAGGCCAGGTATGATCAGCGGTATAGTCAGCAGGCTCAAGCTTGATCAGTTTCCTGTGGTGGTGCAGACACTAGTCTAGAGGAAAACTGACGGTAATATGGGTAGCAGCAAGGGCAGTGTCCAGTGGGCGGCTAAGTGGCAGCAGAAAGGTGAAAGTTCTGCAAAACTGGATCCACTGGGAGATGATACCCTAACCTGGGGCTCCTGGAGGGGGACTAACTCCATGCCGAAACCCTAAATCCTAGAGGAAGAGTAAGGAGAAAGCTAGAATCATTCAGAATACACCTGTAGGCACACTTGGGGACTCTCCACTGTCTTTGGGGAGAGGAGATGACTTATTATCAATTAGGCAGACAGGGGCTTTGAAGCATTGAGATTCCAGCTATTACTATAAATGTGACACTCTCACTGTATGAAGTCCGGGACTTAACAAGCTACATATATAACATTTGGGGTTTTTTGTTTGTTTGCTTTGTTTTTGAGACAGAGTCTTGCTCTGTCACCCAGGCTGGAGTGCAGTGGCGTGATCTTGGCTCACTGCAACCTCCGCCTCCCGGCTTCAAGCAATTCTCCTGCCTCAGTCTCCTGAGTAGCTGAGATTACAGGCGCCTGCCACCATGCCCGACTAATTTTTGTACTTTTAGTAGAGACGGGGTTTTTCCGTGTTGGCCAGCCTAGTCTCGAACTCCTGACCTCCGCCTCAGCCTCCCAGTGTGCTGGGATCACAGGCATGAACCACCTTGCCTGGCCCATATGTAACACTTCAATCTTAGTCCCAATAAATGCAGTCTTCGTTATTTGTAAAGGAGTGCTGACAGAGTTATGTTTCAGTAGATATGTCTTTGGGGGCCTCTTTAGTTCATATGCTTCCATGTTTCTTAATTTATCAAACATTTATTGAACATCTATTATATGTCTGACAGTAGGCCAGGGGTTGAGAATATAAAAATACATACATCAAAATAAAGATGTTGTAGTCTCTGATCTCAACAATCTTACAGGTTAGCAGGGCACTAATCTATTAAGCAATGATGGGATGTGAAGTGGTCAGTGTCACAGAGAGGTACGGCCATGTGTAGGGAGAAGCAAAGAAGGGGCTGGTGAGAAGTTGCAGAACGTGGCATAGTGGGTGAGCTACACAGGGCATAATAGGTGACAATGAATTTGCTAGGACAACAGATGGGAGGCAGGGCATTTGGATCTGTAAGGGTAAATGGAGAATGCCCAGCATAATCTCCAGGCTTCTCCCTTCTTAGTATGCTGCGAGTTTGACTTCTATGGACTGCGTTCCCTCTTGTTCCCTGCCTTTCAGGTTTGCATTTCTGAGGGGAGGTGCCAGCAAGAGGAAAGAGAGATATTTATTCCTCCACCTCCCTCTCCATCCAGTTTGATAGTAGCTTTGTTCTTCCATCTGACAAGGACTCCCTCCCAAGTTCTAGCAAGAGAAGGAAACAGTTACTAGAAGGGACCAAGGTTGGCAGCTGCCTGCTGTTGCTGGCCCCAGGGTAGGCACCTTCCCTTACTGGCTTCACTAATCCTGCCCACATCTCTACAGAGAATCCCTTTACTTTACTACCTTCCATTACCTTTCTGGATGCATCACCTGTTCCCTGTTGGGACCCTGCATGATATAGCACTCTGAGTATAATAGTATATGTAAAGGAGATATGAAATGACACTGCTCAGTTAGGGAGCTAGTATTAGTTCACTGGCTGTAGGCAGAGCTCAAGAAGCAGAAGCAAGAGATGTAGCTGAAGAGGATGCCAGGGGCCAGGTCGCATGGAGCCTGGTGTGCTATGTGTGAGAGGCTTTGTCCCAGAGACTCTGCTAATACAACTGGTGTTCATGTATTTGACTTTTCTGGTGATTTCCTCACAAATCCTCAAAATTCCTTAAAATCTTATATTATCATGGCATTGGATTAAAGGCATTTCTCTGCCTGTGAATTATAGAACACAGCTTTCAAATAACCTGGTTGAGACGTAATAGAACTCCTCTATTTTCTGCCAAGAACCCCTGTGAATTACTCTTAGGAATGAGAACACAGGATTTGGTTGAAGGTAGTAGCTTTCCCCTTCCAATATGTATAATCCTTAAACAAATCATGTTCTGGTAGATGATCCAGAATTGAGTGTTTCCCTAGAATTCAACATCGTTGTTCTTCACTTTTTATTTTTCTCCTAAACCAGCACGGAATTATCTAGGAAAGGTGAGTCAGATGAGAGAGTCATTGCAAGCCCAGAGAATAAAAGTTCTCAGTATATTCCATATTCCCTCTCAAATACAGACCTTCTTGCTAGCTGAGAGCAGAAGAGCCAAGTGGAGGAGAAGGCAGTTCTTTACTTATTATTAAGCACAGTATAGTTAATATAATAGGATAGTATTAGTGGAGTGATTGCACTAAAACAGAGATACTTAAACTCTCCGGCCAGCCCTGAATGAAACAGATATTGTAGGTGGGCTGATTCACACCCATTCACAACATTTTTCCCCTGTCAGCCTCTATCATAGAGAGTAGAAAAGTTAAATATTCATTTTACACACCTCCCTTGCATAATGATGACCAGCCAATGAAATGTAAGTGGAAATCTGCTAGGGATTTCTGGAAAAACTTTTATAGCTCTGATAAAAAGAGACAGTCATAGTTAGCATTATCCTCTCCTCCTTTC